TGTTGCTTTGTTTCTGGTAAACATTTTTATACGCCCCTTCTCTCAACAATATCGCTTCCCGTTGTTTAAAAAAACACAAGTTAATAAATATAAAAATCTATAAAGACCATATATATCTACCATATAGCTCGCAAAGTAAAGGCGTGCCGTGGATTTTGAATGAGACATGAACAAGATATCTGGCTGTCAGCCTTTAATTAATGTTTTATAATAAAACCAAAAATGGGAAGGCAACAGAACTGGAGAACAACATGAGACAGGAAGAAAGTTGTAGCTCTGACAAAAAGGTCGAATAATTTTGAGAATGTGAGAATGCAAAATGAAACCGTAAAATATGGCCAACCTGTTCCAGTTCACTATCAAATTGGGTCAAATCCAGTTGCAATTTAGTTCACATTCCTCTGCAACAAGTGAGTTGCATTGCGATTGCAATTGAAACCAGCAAAAACGAAAACTTGGCAACCAACGCCAAGTGAAAGTGCAGGCACAAACGAACAAAGCAATTAAAACCACCACTGCCATAATGAATGCGAAAAAAAAAAACAAAAGAAAAATAATGAACAAACAAAAAAAAACAAAAGCTTGAAAATTTCCAGAGAAATAACCACAAATTTCCGAATTAGCTGAGATAACGAAGCCGCAAAAAAAAAGATAATGGGGTAGCCAAGTTTCCATTAAACTGTAAATTTAAATGGTAAGCTTTGCAATAGCTTTCAAACTGTAATGGCGCCATCTAGTTAAATGCTTATTTACAAGCTGCCAACACCTACAGTTTGAAACTAAAAATGGAAATGTAATTTTCCCCACCCAAATGCACTCTCTGTTGCTCCACTGCAAAAAATTATATTTAGCTCGATTTTTATAACAGACTTTTATGATTATATTAAAGATTATTATTTTATAAATACATAAATTCATAACATAGAAAGGCTGCAGAAACACTAAAGTACGAATTTTTACGATTATGTGATTTTTACTATTTTCTTCCTGTGAACCTCTGTGTAAAAACAAGCTTCCAAGTCGTTAGAGGCGGCAGACTGGCTAAACTGGCTTCCAGATTCGATCCAGACAGATAAGGCAAGACGACACAAGAGACTCTCATGGGTAGCAGATGACAGCTGCCTAGGCTTTTTGACAAGATCTACGAAAAAATCGGGTTTTTTCCTTTCTGCCGGGGGAAATTGAGCAATTTTCCAATGCATTTAACTTAATGTTTACGATATGATAAGACTTGAGTGGCAATTAGTGGAGTAACCGTCTTCAGTAAAATCATAAGAAGCTAGGGGCATCGTGTTCAAAATGATAAAAATAAAATAGAATTCGGTTAGAATACTATAAATAAAATATTAAAAAAAAGCTATCCAAACCAATTTATACATTTTTAAGTTACGTGCATTTTCACATTTGTATCCCTTTACTTAGATTCATTAATGTGCTATCTTAATCTACACTGACCTTGCCTCATCATTTAAACGTAATGCCATTTGCCATTTTAAACATTAACACACTTCTCGAGGTATACAAAATCCATTGTAGAATCTTAAATTGAATTGAAAAATTACCTGACCAAAAAAGTTTAATTCGCGCTGGCCCCCACAAGTTGAGCATTACGTAATTTTGAGCTATTCTGCTATTGTCTTTAAGTGTGTGCCAATTCACAAAAACCGACAACATCCGCTTAAAGCTTCACCGTAACTATCAAGATCTTTAATATTGGAAACCATCAAAAAGTTTCGCCCATGCTTCTAAGTTTTTCTATATTTTTTGTTCGTCTATTGTGTTTCTTTCTAGGCTCGTGTCGAATCAATAATTTAATTGACCTACTTTAACTGGAGTCGAGCAATAACTTTTCGAGAGTTTCGTAGTTGGAGGCTAATTGCCCGAAGTTATAGTTGGCCAAAAGTTTAGCCAAAGCAATGGCAACATTGAAAATAGAGGAAAAAGTAAGCGCAAAACGAATTTTGGTCGAAACTAGGTTGATGACGTCTGCATTAGCAACATTGTTGATGGCCAATAAATGGAGCAAAGTGCTGGCCAAACTGTGCTTTAAGATAAGTTGAATACACCAAAAGTTTCTATATAATACAAATAACTTTTTTTGGCTTTAAGAATATTATTGTTTAAATACTTCTGAAATATATAAATAAAACAAACAGCGAGCTGATAAACCTTTACTAAGTTTATATGATTATATTGTTGTTTACCTTATTTCAAACCTTGAGCTGTGATTTTAAAAGCAATTCTAAAACTGACCTAAAGTAAACTTAATCAGCTATGTTCACGATTTTCTTATCAGCCATACAAAGCAAACTTTACTTATATGCTGTTATGAATGCGATAATGTTTTATTTTAATCACTAAAGTTTAGCTCAAACTGTATTTGACCAACTAATACAAACGAAAATGTCTCTACTCTTTGAGTTTTTCATAATCTTTGTTGAACCAAGAGTTAAAGGTTGTTGAGGGACTTTTAAAGCTTGACATTTTGAGTCGGGGGTGTGGGCTGATTGATTGTAGCATTGCGGATTTAATGATTGTTACTGCTCATGGTCATACAAGTTGGTCAAAAAATAACACAGTAAGCCAACAATAGCAAGTGAGTTGGTTTCTAAAAACGGATTCGAAAACTGGTATTACATAAAAGAAGAAAAACTTAAAGCACAAAATCCTTTTTATATTTATGTTTCCGTGAAATTGTGTGAACCATTTTTTTTTCAATTATTCTGCTCATAGATTACATAAAAATGTTCACCCTTTGACCGTTCTTGGCCACACCCAAACGACCTTGAACTTGACAGGGCCAAAATGTCGAGTCGGTGTCTAAAAATATGTAACAACTGCCTACCTTTCTTTTCCATGGCGAATAAAATCAATAAACTGATGCTGTAACCTCTGCCTGCAAATAAACTGAAAATTCCCCCATTTATCAGGTCGGCATTTCTAATTTATCAACAGGTTGACTCATAGTAGACGTGCAAACGGGTTCCCTCATCATCCGCTCTTCCCATCGTCATCATCAAGTTTCCAAGTAAGTGCAAACAACAAAAATTATAATAAACGTCTTTTTTCCGTGGGGATGAGTCAGTTTCGCCAGAGAAGAGAAATTTTTCCGCCTTTTTTTTTACCCAGTCCTTGAACCCTAAACGGCGAAACAAAATTACTAATGGAAATTAGAAAAATGATGAAGGCCTGAAAGCCAAGAGCGAATTTGTTTGCGCTTGGGTTCATTCACATTAGGTTTTTTGGACAACTTTTTTGGTAGCGTGTGTAGGCTGCCCCAAACTTTTGGCATTGTCTTTGTTTCTGTCTTTTGTCGATGACTGTACTTGACTTTGAGAGTTGATCAGTGATCGGGTCAGTTTCTCACATGAATCTCAGGGTCAAAAGATTGTATCCCCCTTTTAATCAATCACCTGACTGTCCATGCAAATCTTATCTATCCACAATTGATTTTGTTTTGTATTATTTGCGATTACTCATGGTAACCATCATCAAGCGACGCAAATCCTAGCGGAAACAACGTAATAAACACAAAAACAATTGCACAAAATATATCAAAACGTTTGAACACCAAAAATAAACTTGTTTTTCCAAATATATATATAATACTTTTATAGCCACACACGAATTACGTTTTAGTGTCAACTTCGATTACCCAAAACAAGGAAATAAAATTGCATTTTATTGAATGCAAATAGCAATTCTAATTTGGTTGTTATGGTTTGACTCGAAGCTTTTGTTTGGAAACAACGGGAAGTGAAAATAAAAACAAATGAAGCGTGGCGAAGACGAATTTATAACTGTTTATGTTGGCAAATTGGCAAATATGTGTGCAATTTAAATGTTTAATGTTGGAGGGGCCAAACCATTAGGGTTACACTAAAAATAAATACTCATCTTATTAAAAACATTTTTTTAATCATTTCAAGTTCAATTTTCCTTTAACTTTTTCTTAATTTCCAGCATACAGTGTTTCTAAAACTGTGTCTTACGTCCAGGCTTGTGAAATCAAACAGTCTTGAATTTCAAAATTTAACGTGCCCACACACACAGAAGCATTCAAAAACATTGGGCGGTAAGCAGAAAGTAAAACCAGTTTCCAACAAGAACTAAACAAAGCGCACCTAGCAACAACAAAGAAATTACAGTAAGGCCTTCCTAACTCAACTATGTTTTATTCTCAGTTCAATTGTTTTTTTAATTATTTTTTTCCATTAGAAATTTTTAGTTGAAGTAAATTAATATTTTTTTTATCATCAATGTGGTATTTGCACACAAAAAAAACAATTTGAAACTGGGAAATTTTTAATATATTTTATTTAGAAATCAAATTTAAATACTATATTTGTCATACGCCGCTTCGTGTTTAGCAAGCTTTACTGTAACTGCAGGGCGTGTGCGTTGGCGTCGCTGACGTTTTGTATCTTTTTTTCTATATTTATTTGCTACGTTTGGCTGCTGCCCATGACCATGTCAAATAGTTGCGACAAGGAGGTGAGGGGGCTGGGCGAGTGAGTGGGATAGTGATAGAGAGACCCCGGGCAATAGATTACATAAAGCAGCAATGCAAACCACATACTTTAAACACCTTGCTGTTATCGCACAGTTTGAAATGGATTGTAATTGCTCAGGTTTGAAGTCTCAGAACTATTAGTTGTAAACTTAAAACAGTTCTTTCTACGTTTTTGCGTCAGAACCTATTGTTAAGGTTGCAATTACTTCCCCGGTTTATATCCATCGATATATTGTATTGCACTATCTTATATTAATATTTCACTAATACAACTCACATTGGTTAGGTTTTTATTGAATTTTGACTGCCATTTGACCGATGTAGCAACATATAGCAACTTTAAGAATACTATTATTCGTAAAACAGTATAAGCTCGTATAAACATAGCGACAGTTTGAGAGTCATTTCTAAGGCACATTTTCAGGTGAACTGTTATCGTTGGTTTAGTAGGAACTGTAGAATTTTGCGTGTTTTTTTTTCTACTTACGTTGCCGCGTCCTTGGGAACAATTTCCTCAGCCGCAGCGGCGTTGGCGTCCACTGTCTGCTCCACGGTTAACTCAACGTCCATCTCGGAATTCGATGAGGTTTCCTCGCGTTCGCTATCGCTTATTACAATTACTTCACCGTCCATGCGTGGCAATGTCCAAAAGAACAAAAACAACGATCAGAGTCCAGTGCTTGCCAAACGTTATTATTTGTCAATTCCTTTTTTTTTCACAGTGGTTTCGCTTTTGCGTCAATCGGTGTGAATGTGTGTGTCACACGCGCGCTGCGATAAAAACTCCCGGACTTCTGGCACTTTCTTCACGGGCTGTTTCTTTTGATTTGTTACCGCCTTCGCTTCCGATTTAGTTGCACGTTGCTGGCCAATTAGTTGTTAATTTTGAAATTTTTATTTCGAATAGCCAAACGACCCGAACAGACGAAAAAAAGCGTGCCGTGCGATGCGGAGGGAAACATACGGAAAAGGAAAAAGTGTGACCGAAACTTGAGTCTCCAAATAAACCATCTTATCCGAAATATGTTGTCGATCTAGCCGTTTTAAATATAGCTATTATGTTACCAAGAACATAAGCATGGAAACGTTAGTGGAGAAGTATTTGAAAAAAAAATGTTTATTATCAATTATTTAAGCTTTTTATAAGTACGCTACGTTTCAATGTACCGAAAATTGTAGTCTAATCAAGGATTAACATTCAAATTGATTAAATGAACTTAAAAGTGTTTTTTTTTGTTATGCACATAGCTTGTAATTTTTCTTCTATATTTATTATTAATTTGAAAACTTCAAAATTGTTTTTAACAATGCTGATTAATTTGTTAAGACGTTTTCAAATACTCGCTTTTCTGTAAGGGAATCAGCTATTTTTTCCCAACTCATCTGCCACCACAAATTACGGTTGCTGCCTTTGCTATGTCTATAGCTAAGACTTAATCCATTACACGCATTTGGTAACTACCTTAATTTTCTAAGAAATAACTGAAAAGCCGTTTATAAAATGAAATGGTAACGTTAGTCTTTGGATGCGAAACTTGAACTGTTTTACTTATAAATTACATTTAATCTTCGTATCTTCATATCATAACCACTCGATCATTGTCTGTCCTAGTTAAAGTACCTAAAAGTATTTCCAAAAATAATAAAATAAAATCATAACATTACAATACATACATTGTTGTATGTATTAAACAATATTAAAATAAGTAGATAATTTTTTAACGATTTTTTACCACAGCTGGAAGTTTCCGCCTTCGGCCCTAAACTCGTCGTCATTCAAAAGCTTTGTCAAAGAGTTGGAACTTATAATTTCAGGGATGTAGTTATTATAGGTTGAGGGCTCTAAAAAACGATCCTTATAGATCCACATTCTTTGCTAACCATAGTCAGTAGTACATAAAACAGGAATCTTGTCATTATATAGCTACCTTTTGAAAATCTTTCTGTTTATCCATTCGTTTTTTTAGGGGTAGAAAAGTACATTTATTGCTAGGCACTTGGAACTGTGTGGTAACTATAATAATAACAAATTAGGCAGTATAATTTAATTTGTTAATAGCTTTTTAATTTACGTTACAGTTTAAACAGCTTAAGACTTATAACAAAGAGTGTAATCTAAGAGTTGCCAGAACTAGTTTTTTGCTGTGCGTCTGGGAATCGATTTCTTACAGACGACAGCTGATTTCTATGCTGCTCACTGACAAATGCTGACCGATTCAAAGCAGTTTACAAGCAGTTTGTAGTACAATTATGGCGCCTTAATTGAATTTGAATGGGATTAGGAATAATTATGTATTTTATTTAATTGAGTATTTTCTTTAACAATGGTTTTCTACAAGGCATTTTTTTTAAATACAATCTTCAAATACCAGATACACACAAACTTATTTTAAAACAACATGATTCGTTAAATGATTTAAACTGTTTTATTACTATTTAGTATATTCATTGGCAAATATAGAAAACGTTCTGTTAAGAACTTAACATTTATTTTTTAACCCCCCACAACTAAATAATAGATCTGCGACTCGTAGCTACGTAAAACCAATTATCTGACTGAAGCATATCATATATTTGACTTTTAGCATTACAAAGTATATCGTGTTTTCAGATTCACTGGAGTTTTAAAGCTAACAATAATACAAAATGTTATATTAAAAAAGTACGGAAGCATACTTTTTTTCTACAAACATTCCCAAAATTAAATTCTGAATCCTTTACTGGTTATCTGACTAAAGATCTGAAAAAAGATTGCATTGTAGCATTAGAAAACTAAAGAACTTATTTTGTAAATAAAGATTTATAAAAAATTAAAATACATGGTATGTTTTACTGTTTAAACGATGAGAACAAATAAAAAGTATTTTTCATTGGATTGAAGTTTTTTATTTTTAATAATATTGATCAAAAAGGTAAAATAAAATTATGTTTATCGGTACAATACATTTTAATTATGAAAAATGCCAAACATTATTAACAAGTTTTAAAAAATTAAAGTAATCTAGACAATTTTAATAAGCTTTAAGGACGCGATTAGCCAGACGACTCAAAGAATTATTTGAAAGGTCTGGGAACTGCATATTTGCAGTCAATTTAATATCAAATGGTAACTGTCATCTAAAAGACAGCAGCAGAGGAAATCCACAAAAGAAAAACCCCAAACGAAACGAATAAGAAAAATCCATACGTCATGTGCAAACACAATACATAAAGATGTATTCCATTGCCATATAGAAAGATATATACGGAACTCTCTCGAAACAAATGGAGAGAACGGAATGCGATTGGTTCGGCGACGGAATGGAAATCGTTATGGAGAAGAATCGCAGAAGGCGAAACGAAGACAAATAATAGAAAAATGACCGAGCGCTCGGATACATTGTACATAAACATATAGAGGTGGCAAAGGTGCGAGACCAGAATTTATAAGCAATGCTATTTATAAGCAGCCGAAAAACGAAAAACGAACGCCCCCAGGCGAAAAAAAACCCCATTATCGCTTTTACCCAAGTGAAAAAGAGATGGCCTGCGATAGTGCCGCACTCCTCCGAATCAGAAAAAGACACACAAAAAGAAATACAAATAAACGGGACTCGAATGGAAACGAATGGGAAACGGAAAACGGTTGACAAAAAATCAAAGCTTGGGCCAGAAAGAGACAGCAGCACTGCCCCGAAAAGTATAATTCGTCGAAAGTTTGTCATTTACTTTTTTAATTGAAATTAAAATGCTTCTTGTCAAAGACAGCTGCGCAAACTCCAAGTAAAAGCAATTTTTTTTACTTTTCTTTCTGGCAATGCATTTGTTTTAATTTACTTTGCATCAGAAAATGCCAAAACAATTGTCATTTGTTTATATAGGGCGTCGGCCATGGGAGTGAGCGAGAGCGCAAACATATACAACTGGCTATGCAAATATGATGCCCTCTCGCTCGCTCATGTTTATTGGTTGCAGCCCACCTGAGCGCGTACGACAGAGATAGCGAGAGAGTATGAGAGAGAGGGCCATAGTTGAAACGAAATGAAATTGAAATGAAAAAAGTTTTTTTTCGGGGGAGTGAGAGAGAGAGGGAGGGTTTGAAGAACTCGCACAAATGAATTGAAAAAATAAATAAAACAAATACGAATGAGAGAGAGAGAGAGAGAGAGAGAGAGAGAGCGATTTACGTTTGTCATTGAATTTTTCGGGGTTGCACACAGAAATACAAACACAGCGATCAATCGCACATACCACTCCCCTTTTTAGCCTGGTATTGGTGTAATGCGAGACGTGCCACAGACATTCGTAAAACCCAACTCGTATTCGTATTCGTATTCTGGTTTTGCACAATCGCATATACAGATACAGATACACCAGCCCGGCTCGCTCTCACATACACATATACGCCATCTGCTGCTGCGCAGCCGGCGTCGCTGCCACGAAAATCCGAAACGAATTGAATCGAAACTCGCCTTTCATTACGAATTTGTCATTCGCAAGCGAAGGTAATGCAATAAAACTTTTGCGCGCGCATTTCTCTCAGTACATAACGGTAGCTCTTCGTGTGTGTGGGTGGGCTAAAAAAATAGCACTCGCTCGTGCCCTCTCGCTCGCACTTCCTTGCTTGCCGCCTCCTGCCATCCCGCTCTCAGTCGATTCCCATTCGAATGCAATTCGTTTCGTTGATTTCTCCAATTCGCGAAAGAGAAGCAGAGGCAGCGACGCCAACGCAGTCGTCGCAGCGAAGTAGCTGGCATCTCTCAATCTCTCAATCTCTCAGTGACAATCCGTCGGTACGGTACTCGAAAGCGGACATCGCTCCGTTTCCAAAATTCCAGTACGAAAAACGGTTATTTGAACACTCGATATTGCGGGCATCCGGAATATAAATCAAAATATTGAAAATATACATATAATTCACGGCGAAATCCAAAGTGAAAATCTCAAATAAACAAAGTGCGCGAGTGTCTTGTGTCAGTGCTTTTGATTTAGAATTACTTTTAGACCTCCTTAAAGGTAAATCTATGTTCTTTATCCCATCATTCAAATAGGGCTGACAATAGGTAGATTTATGCAAAACGGCAGTAAAGTTTCTCAAAAATATTTAAAAAATAGTTTTTCTTCCAAAGAAATTAATTCTATGTATGTTCCTACTCAAATAATTTTAATAACTTTACAAATAGATTTAGGCAAATCGGTAGTACAATTATCTGTTCTATTAAAGGAAAGACATTTTTATTTTTTGATGCTTTCCAAAACAAACTCTTGGTCAACTTTGCCGAATTGTTTCTTAGAATTAGGATGAGATATATATTACAAATACAATATCTTCTGATCTAGATTAAAATAAATTAAATTTAAATTGTTCTTACTAAAAAAATTCTTAACACGAAAAAATAAATTCTGATGTCAACAAATCGCAAACTAATTTGATAATTTTTCAAGCATGTTTCACAAGAAGGACGATTTGTTACTTATTTATAAAATTTTCAAGTTTCTTACAATTTTGTATAGTATTTTATCGTATGTATAGTAATGCTAATCAATGTTTTCTTAAAATTTTCCAAACAGAAAATTAAAATAGCCTTTGAAAATATCTCTTCTAAATGCATTAAGTAAAAGGTTCAGATTAAAAGTTTTCACAGTCATATAAAATTAAACATTTTGAAGACAATCACTGAAATGATGCAATTGAACAAACCTTTCTAAAATATTAAAATAATTATTTTGAAACTTTAAATTCCAAATTGTACAATAAATAAACATGAAAATGTAATTCAAATATATTTAAGGCTATTAAATCACGGATCTGAATAAACGAGCGAAGCTCAATTACAATTTGCATAGAGAAGCCTATTAAATAATTAAAAATGAATTAAGAGTTCATTAATTATTTGTCTCCCTTTCACCTCCTCTCTTCTATTGCTCTCTAACTTTGTGTTAATTTTTTTCACGATAGAAAAAAAATCAAATTAAAGAATCGGTCAAAAAGTAAACAA